TCTGTGCAGGCTGTTAGAGACCTCGCTGCTCCAAAGGGCAGGTCTCCCACTTTGCTGAACCAATAGCTCTGTTGCTACCTCTCACATGAGACAGAGTCAGATCACTTGCCTTCCTAAGCTACTTGAAGATGTGATTTGGATTTACGTTACGTGCATAAACATTTGCTAGGCTCTAGTAATCGCTCCTGTGCAGTAAGGAAAACCACTTACTTGCTCCATTGTGGAACAAGATGACTGAGCTTTCCTATGGAGAGGTAGCATGAAAGACTGCATCATATGCATAAGCACAGCAAGCCTGGCTAACTCCCTTAGACAAGCCCTTGGGCACTTCTAGTTTTGGGTTTAACCAATTCTAGTTTATGCAACCTATTTCCCTCTGATGCTGACCACATAGGAACACTCTTCACTTCCCACTCTGTGCTGGACCATAGGTGATGTCAGCAAGGCAACCATCACCGTATTTCTAATTTTGCCTGTAGCCTAATGGGCAGGCGATGATTTGTTCAGCAGAATGGAAATGTAAATCACACTAACACTACCATTTTCCTATGGCACTGAATAGCTGCTGTAGAATTACAAGAAATATTCATGTATTCCCTTTACAGCAATTACACAGCCATCTCAAGAGACAGGGAAGCATGTACTAAATTTTTGTTTGGCATATTTTGTGTAGCTAGGCATCCTACGTCTTTGCTTGCTGTTTACTGAGCTTAGTACCAAAGGCCTAGATGTACTCCCCTCACATGAAGAAAGCACCCAGTACCTGCTGCTTTAGATGATGCAACTCAGCTGCCTGGGGATCAAGGTTGACAATCGGTTTATTTTTTATTTTTCTTGCTCTGTCAGCATAACGCAAAGTATTCAGAGTTTCTTCTAGATTGGAATCTGCTGGGCTTACACAGGCAATCATGAGAGTGTGGCTATTACCACCCAGAGAATCTGAGAAGGAAAACAAGGCATAATCAAAGCTCTGAGAGAACAAGAATGACTAGTAACATATCATCATTAAGATACTTAAGACCGTGTGAGTGCACCTCCATGCTAGAGCTAGAAGATACCCAGCTGTAGTTTTGTGTCACTGTCATCTAATTTTTCCTCCGCCCCAACCAGTACTATATTAAAGAGCTTTTTTTGAAAGCCAAAGTCCCAAACTTTGCTCTAAGCACCGATGATTTCACATCAGAAGCCCCAGTAATGTTGTTGTCCTCTTAACTAATTTCTGTAATTGCTGTAATTTCTGTATGCCTTCTCTAGCATAGTTCTTTCAGGTTTTCCCCTCCCTTCTTGCACTCAATATTTATACAATACAATTTTACACTAACACATATTGGCTACTTAAAACTTTTGATTGGATAAAACTAGGGGCCCCACATCCAGCTCTGCATAATCCAGTTTCTTTTTATTAGATACTTTCAGATACAGAAAATACTGAAGAGCCTCAATTTTTGTACCAAATTATTTAACTACCACAAAAAAAAAATTCCCAATAAATTGCATTACTATAGCTATGCCCATATTAAAGGTTAAATCTAGATAAACTGTATTAAAAGACCATCGCAACTATTGAAAAAGTAGTACCACAAAGACCAGATATTCAGACTAGGAAAACAAAACTTAAATATGATGAGCACAGTGAAGACACAGACAGCTTGAGCTTCATTCTGGTTGCGATATCCTCCAGTAAGTAGCTATAATTAGAGTATAATAATAGATCTCTGCTTCCAGATTTAACTTTTCATCTTCCTTCTCCCCAGCAAAAAAAAAAGCACCGAGTTGGTCTAGTTTCCTCCTACCACATAGGAACTGCAAAAGAGCAGGACTCCTCTACGAGTCCATCTCAATGCATTTGCAACCTAAAAATAGGAGGTACAGAAAAAGTCTGGATTCTAACTAAGGAACTAAACCAATAAATGCAGTCCCTTTGTCAACAGCAGCGACCATTTTGAACTGCGGTTGTACGGCTGTCGGGTTTTCTGCTACTTCATTATTTAAAGTGCATCTGTAGATTTAGGCTTTTTCATCATCTGTCTCTTACCTTGCAGCAGTCTTGTTAACTTTGAGTCTCTGTAGGGGACAAACCCACCCTTTTTGTTTTCATCGCCAAGAGCACTGATCACATTCCCCAGGCAGAGGAGACCTCTGTTAATGTTGATGCCTGCACACAAACAGACAACAGTGAGTAGAGCCACCTCGGGAGCCAGGAATTGGTCATTTCCTGTCCTTATTAAAAAATGTAAGAAGGTTAAAAAAAGCTTATTATAAGGGTTAATTAAAAGAACTGCTTTGCTTTTCCTCACAAGGGCTCAATTTATTAACTCAAAAGTGGTAAGAAACCCAAGCTATATCAGTCCTTTTCCTACAGACCTTCTTTTAGTCGGTCTCCCTCAGCCTTGGTCTTCTTTTGTCTCTCAGAGCCAGCAAGATCAACCAGATGTAGCTTGGAGTGAAAACTGCTGTTCCTAAGACAGAAGCAGACTATTTCACTCTCTCAAATAAACATGTAGTTAAGAAAGAAGCAGTCCCATGGTTACTACAGTTGAGCTACCAGGCTGAAAGATATACCTCCTATCAGAGACAGCCAAATAAAGGAACTGCCTCAAGAGTAGCTCAGCTGAGTTCATCCAAGACCAAGAAAGAATGACAGGACTACAGAATTTTGAGTAAGGCTGACTGTGCAGCTACTCCTAGCAGCTGTCAGGAATCACACTTACTTGTCACTTTTCTTTTTCTGATCAATGCAAATGGTGAAGATGGCATGGGACCGTGAGGACTGGGAGTTCATTGCCGTGGAGGCCACCGTTCTGGAATTGTTCCCTTGCTCTAGGCAGGATACAGTATCTCGGGCACAGGTGACACTTCTCTCTGTTAACCCTACAATCTGCATCCAGGAAGAAAGTATCATTTATCCTCTTCTTCCTTCTCACCCCAACTGACATCAAAAAAGTTATCCTGTCTTAGATTACAGCAAACAAAGTGAAGTCTCTGTGTAAATACGCATTCACAAGAATCAGTTTCAACTCCAAGGCAGAGGCTCAGTATGGACTCCCCCAGACAAAATTTATTCTGAACTCCGTATTGGTAACTAAGTTATATCACCTCATTCATGCACACACCAAGTTCCTCTGTTCCTGCTTGAGCTATGGAATGGAGACAGAGCTCCTCAGTATGCTGCGGGGAAATCCCTAGCTGCCCTCAGATATCCCTTGGCCAAGCTGGGAGCTGGAAGTTGTGCCAGTCGCAGGCAGAGAAAGGGGAAACTGGCTGAAGGGGGTGGGGTATTTGTGTGGCGAGAAGGCAAGCATTAGGGCCACAGAGGAGAGAGGGGACTGAGTAGTAGGGACTGGTTGTGCTCCTGGGCAAGCTTGCAAAGCCCCGAAGGGCCTGTCTCCCTGGATCACAGTGCCACTGCTAACACATGGATGAGTCGCGCCCCAGTACCGTAGAGATGACTGTGAGCAGCACAAGATGACACACAACAAAACCATGAATGGATCAAAGCTACTGGCAGCACGTACCCCTAAGCTGTGCGTATGACAGCCAACAACCTACCCACCACCACAAACTGAAACTGTGTGAAGCACAACCAATGAACGGAAGTTTAACTACAAAACAAGTACACAGAGCAGGCAGCAGCACAAGGATTTTCTGCACTATGCTGTAAGCACACATCTGTATGGCACTGCTAAGAAAATAACTTGGGCACTTAAATAGTTTCCCCTCAGGATCCCTTTGTGGCATGCTACTTCTGCCAAACTGAAGAGTACAGTTGTAACAGAGTTAGAAATTTGGTGAAGGGACCCAAAGTACAGTGCTGTCAGATATTCACCTAAATCAGCCTTAAAAAAAGTCAGAATAGGACTTGCAGGTGGCTTTGTCATGAATGTCTAACCCTACTGGCGTTACTCTGAGTAAACTTAGGGATCATCAACAGCTCCATTTTGAGAGGAGCAAGTAGTTGTGATGATTTCGTATGCGCTAATACAAAGCAGTGCTCAAGGAGTCAGACAGCTGCTTCACCGAAGTGTTCGTCCCGAGCCGTGCTGCTCCCTTATGTACCCATACCTAACAGGGCAACAGACCTTTATGCCTTCTTTTGGATCTTCTCGTATACTGATTTGAGAAGACCGTTCTCTTGACGGGCACAGCAGGTCTAGAATATCCTCATTGTAGATCTGAAAGCATCAGAACAGCAGTTCAGAGTTAGCAGCCTCGCAAGAGAACAATTTGCGTTAGGGAAGATGTACAGTTACGCTGAAATCGTGGCTAACTTTGCACAGCATTCTATTCATTTTGCCTTTAGAGAAGGATACCTAGGACTCGGAATCCAGTTCCTGACAAGACCTTATGTAGTCTTAAGTTTTGATTTAATAAATACCTATTATGGGAAGGAGGGGGCCTCATTAAAGTTCACTTTATCTGTAATTCATGCCCTTATAATGGTTTGGAAAATCAAAACAACTTTTACCTCTAGATAAGAAACTTTGAGGACGAATTCCCAATCCTGCCTTTGCTCCTTCTCCTTAAACAGCAGTTTGATCACCCGCGGGATGACCCCCACGCTGGGTTCATCCTCTTGATTGGCAGTGTAGGTACCTCCCATAGAGTACGTTTTCCCAGATCCTGTCTGTCCGTAGGCTAAGACAGTGGCATTATACCCTAGGGGAACAAAGGGCGCCCAGATCAGACAGTCACATGGGAACCCGAAGAAACTTTGACGAACAAAGCCGCATTCTAATAAAAGAATCCTTCCAGAAAAACACTGCCCCACTCTGACAGTTCACACAAGCTTTACGCACAGGTCACAGTTAGCAATATCAAGGCAGGGCGGGGGGGTGGGAAGAAAAATCAATGAAAAGCTCCCCAAAACACAGATGGAATTATTATTCCAGCTCCTTTGTCAGCCTGCTCTGTTGCTTTACTAGAGTTAGTCATAGAAACACGGCACAAGTTCTCTGCCATCCCAGCTCCACTGTAGCATCAGTAACAGCTTCCGGTGTGGGATGCGTATCAAATCATCCTATTATTCTTGATAAAATTCTCTCGCCTTACATAAATAGCTTCAGGAACCAAAGTGACTCCAAGAACACGTGAAAGTCATAGAATCATAGAATCATAGAATGTTTTGGGTTGGAAGGGACCCCTAGAGGTCATCTAGTCCAACCCCCCTGCAGGAGCAGGGACACCGCTAACTAGATCAGGTTGCTCAGAGCCCCGTCCAACCTGGCCTGGAATGTTCCCAGGGATGGGGCCTCCACCCCCTCTCTGGGCAACCTGTTCCAGTGTTTCACCACCCTCATTGTAAAGAATTTCTTCCTTATATCTAGTCTAAACCTACCCTGGTTTAGTTTAAAACCATTACCCCTTGTCCTGTCACTGCTGGCCCTACTAAAAAGATTTTCCCCATCTTTCCTATAGGCCCCCTTTAGGTATTGAAAGGCCGCAATCAGGTCTCCCCGCAGCCTTCTCTTCTCCAGGCTGAACAAGCCCAACTCCCTCAGCCTGGCCTCATAGGAGAGGGGCTCCAGCCCTCGGATCGGTTTTGTTAGCCCTGATAGGTACAGCAAGTTAGCAACAGGTAAGATCTGGCACTTCTCACTAGAGGCTGGAGTCAGTGTCTAGAGAGCACAGGATTTTATTTTCTGAGAAGATCAAAGAAGAAATGAGTTAGAAGAGAGAATTAAACAGCCCAGCGCCTTCTTC